CAAAATTTCCTATGCTTTTGCTTTTGGAAATGTTTAGCCAAGAGTTAGAATATGAGGAAATCTTCATGTTTGGTTTGTTGGGAGTTGGCCACTTTCTGATGGCCCACCCCTCTCCTTCGTGAACTATTACTGAACGTTTCGAAAATGGTTTCATTCGTCTGCTCAGATTCCACCAGACTCCACTAACCGATCACAAGGCTGTCTGGTGGTGCTCAACTTTTCAACCCAGCGCGGCTAAAGGTGCGGACTTTATTTTTATTCAGCTAGAAAGTACACTGCTGCACTGCAACTCTGCTGATGACGACGATGATCGTCACTATGCACTGACTGGAGTGACGGACCCTACACGAAGTGAAGGCACGGAAGGTGCCGCCTGCAGAGAAGGGTCGCACTGAATGCATGTTATGCACTTATCACTGAAACTCTACTGGTGCCTTTGTGCAGCATGTTACGAGGTTCAGGCCGCCACTCATCCGAGAGTATACCGGGAGAATAGAGAGAGTACAGAAATATGATGTCTGGAATGATCCATTCTATATTCTTGTACGCGTTAGCTCGAGAGAACCTAAATCTTCAGTGACAATCTTTGTTGTGGATCTTGAGTTTTTGCTCATCCAGCACATTGATGGCCATAGTGCAGTTGGCATAACTCGTCAAGACTATGATATGATACGAATGAGTGTCTGTATATTATTGGCCATCATGTTTGAGGCTATTGGATGGATCACATGTTGCAATACTGGCATCAATGGGAGATTCCAAAAGCCATCTGAATCACAACCTGCCCGTTCGGTTTCATTCCTGTACGTCTTGATGGGGTCTTCCCCTCCTTTTGGCATCCTCCTACTTGGTACCCTTCATCTGAATCACAACAACCCTTCACAAGGTGCAATCATTTACCGAGTATAATACTTCCCAGTACTACCATTAGCTCAAGAGCCTATCAGCAGGGATCGCCATCCAGATGTGTGGTGTGTCTGCCGATTCGGCCCCACTTAGAAGCAGGAAGTTGAAACCCCATTAAGAAATATCAGCGAATTGTGCCCATTCAGTGGGTCTCCAGAAATGATAAAATTATATTATTTGTCAGTAGGAAGTACTTGTACGAGTCGCTGGACAGTCCCACCATCCTAAAAGGTCCTGTCCCAAATTGAATCCCGTGGTACCTTGGATCAAAGTTGAAGCTAGTCACGACGATGGTGTAATGGGTAGAATGCCGTGGCATGATTGAAGCACACTCGGTCGAAATTCCATCTTGTTTATTTAGCGATGTAATGGTTGCACCGGACGAGACCAAGACATGCACATTGCATTAATGCAAAGTCTCCCCTCCAAAATATCTTCCTTCAGTTTTCATTGCCAGGGGAACAATTCCAGTCAATTAGCACTTATTCTAGCATTCTTTTATATGATATTCTATTCTATGCTATTATGTGTTCCTATATCTATGACGGGAGTCTGAGATTTCAATTACATGAAGTCTCCATCTTTGATAATATCTTGCTAGTCTTTGAACCGTATTTGCTCGTCTTCCCGTCATGTTCAAAGTGGGCCTACTAGAGGAATCGAAAGTTCAACAGAGTAGAGACGTGATTGCGCCATGGGAGGCCTACAAAGGTTCCAAAAGTCCTGCTAGTCAACCCTGGGAAACGTTTTTGGCACCAGTACAGAATTAGTGGCTGAGGGACCTGGGGATGTCCGCATGGCATCTTGCGCATTTTCTGTCAGTCGGTTGACAGCCTGACGGAAGAAAATTTCCTGCTGGAGTCCATCCACAACCCTCATGTCTAACGTACCAAGGCACAAAGATCAGAATGTACGTGCCGCCACCTCCGCCCACCCATAACAACGAAGGGAAATCGGTCGCTATTTTACGAACATTTGCTTCTGACGTTGAGAACTTTCGAAGTCAATTCAACCCGAAGCTTGCGATTCTCCCGAACTTTGTGTTGATGTCCCCTCAAATACACTGACCGGCCCTAATGTACAAATGGTTTCACTCTCATGGCGTTATCAGTTGGTAGTAAGTCTTCTGAAGATGATTTTCTGGTCAAACATTTCTACGTGTTGAGGCTATTTTTTTCAATGATATTGAAGATGTGTTTTTGCTTAAGTCAGGAATGTGTAAATGTATCACCGTATGTTTGCACACTTTCAACACATGTCATCTTACCACTCACGCAAGTGGAATGCATTTCTCATATTTCTGTTAATAATTCTGAAGTATTTTCGCATATTTGAAAATGATACCGATGGAGGAACAGTATATCAACAGTACAGTTAGTAGATTTATAAACTATTAAGTGATGAAAAGAGAGCATGAGGTTGAAACTACCATATCACAATGCAATCACAGAAATAGAGGGAACTACTTAGTGTAGCATTGGGATTTCAGTTTCTCTGTCTGGTATGTAATCGATAGTTGAAAATTTTTCTGTTCTCCGGTAGAGGAAAAGAATTACATGATAAAAAGACATATATTCAGAAGAACTTAGTAAATAGTAGTACAACTTAATACATATTCTCAATATGTACTAAGTTGTGAAATATATGATGTATGAACTTAATGTTGAAGACAAGTTTCGGCAATGTCCTGTTCGGTACTTCAGCAGAATCCAAAATACAGCCACGAGTGAAGCAGTAAGAAAGACCTTCGGAGCATTTTAAAACAGCCCCAAAACGTGAAAACTGGGAAGAAAAATCCATTATATTCGTGATATCTAAAGCAGCGGATCTCAAACGTAAACCCCTGAAGAAGGTGATAATGGAAGTCAACTAAGCGTGGATTAAATTTCGTTTGATCATATTTCACGTTCATAATTGTGGCATAACATGTGTAAACCTTGTGAAATGTTTGAAAATATACTTTGATGCAGAAGGTCTTCTTTAAATTTTTGATAGATACCAAGTACCTTAGTGCCATTTGCATATGGGGTTTATGATTATGTCATCTTTTAATCTAAAACTCAGTAAAACATTTTCTTTTCTACGGGTTTAGTCTACACGGAGTAGAGGAGCATGTCATCACATTTTTCCATCTCTAGTTAACCTGAACACAACCTAGTCCTAGTCGACCTCGTATGCTCTCTAAATAATCTCAATCATATGTGGAGTTTCAACAATCAATAGATTACAACTGGATATAGATAACCCGACGGTATACACAGTAAAGGCACTCACATACCTATATATATCAGTTCAGAGCCAATTCATATTCTTAGCTTTAATTCATTGAAAAAGGAAATGAAGAAACTGTCCAAACTATCTCTTCAAGTCATGGAGCAGCAGGCTATGGTACTCAGAATTGGTACACACCAAAACCGTCGTTCCTTACAACTTACCACATTTGGTCTCGCTGCATACCATAACGGAAACGCCTGACAAATATCTGGAAAAATCTGCTCCCTGTCTGGAAACTGTGGCCTACGAGACTCTACGCGCAGTGGTGGCTCAGGCTTTGGTTCATACCATAACGCAAATCCATGATGGCGTACGGTTGGGCCTAAGGTTGCCCTTCATCTTTTCTCTTGGGGACAGGTGCACGGTTAACTCTTTAGTACATGCACGCTAAATGCAAAGATGCTCTGGGTGCCCGGTAATACCTGCAGGGACGAGAGGTGACTTCATGAAGGCTTTTCCTTAGCCCAGAGCTTTCAAGGACTACTATACTTTGGGGAATTTCAGAGTTGTAGTGCGGTGATGATGGAGCTGATTCTGACTCTTAAACTCTTTCACAACTTCTCAAATCATAACACACCTTTTCGAGAAGTTTGGCACTAGTTTTCATTGGCACTAATTTCACGGTTAACTTTGTAGTACAAGCACGCTCAATGCAAAGATGCTCTGGGTGCCCGGTAATATCTGCAGGGACGAGACGAGAGGTGACTTGATGAAGGCCTTTTTCCTTAGCCCAGAGCTTTCAAGGACTACTACACTTTGGGGAATTTCAGAGTTGTATTGCGGTGATGATGGAGCTGATTCTGACACTTGAACTCTTTCACAACATGCTCAAATCATAACTCACCTTTTCGAGAAGTTTGGCACTAATTTCATTGGTGTGCGAAATTTGAGCTATACCGAACTAAGACTGGGGGCCAAACCTCAAGAGTCCCAAATTAGGACTAAACATTGCCTTCATTCGGAAGAAGTTAGAAGATGATGAAGAACGAAAACTCAATCGATGCTGAACAAAGTTACAAGACTTAATGCAGATGATGAAGAAAAATGAAATTCTCCGACAGAAAAACAGAAATCGGAGGGATGGATGGAGGGAGGGATATGGTGATGGAGGTGCAGCTGTGCATGCTCGTGCGCGCCCGAGGCGGAAGACGAGGGAAAGTTGGGTACTGCTGCTGCAGCGCCGGGACGAGATCTTTCTGCATGGCGCTCATGGTCTGGTGGAGAAGGGAAGGGAGGGAAGGACGAGCTCGGACGAAGGAACGGGAGTCAAGACTTTTGTGAGGCTCTGTTGTGGCCACCTTTTCTGCAAAAGCTGGAAATCCTCGACAGCGCGATCGTGACCGGAGCTCGATCCGCTGCAGCTGCAGCGGGGCTATGGCCCACAGGCTCGTCTGACACCCTGGCTGCGTTTGTCCGCGCGCGAGCCAATGGATGGTGCCCGAGGGCGTTCCCTCGTCCGTCTGCAGGAATTGTCGTCAGCGCCGAAGCTCTTTTCCTTTCGTCGCCCGGCGCAGATCGTCACCCACTCGCTCCGTTCGGCCTCGCGCTCCTCGGCCTCGGCTTTTCGCAGCATTCCGATTTCCGTGCACTATTCTACTCTGTTTCTTTGGTGCGCTGCGCTCGCCGCTTACGTCGAGCTGCATCGTACGCTGAGGCAAGTGCGCGCTCGGCCGAGCCGAGGGTCCGCGCTCTCCCGAAGTTGACCTGCATCGGCCTCGTGATTCTCTTCTGCTGCCCCATGTCTTTCTCGCATCGAGCATGTGCTGCGCGAAAGGCCCTCGGAGAAAATCTATATAGCATTCGGATGCGGGTCGGTGGATTGGAGCAGTCGAGACAATGATTTTTCTGTCTCTCCCTCCTCGCCGCAGACTGCTCGTCGTTCATGTCGTTACCTAGCCTCTGTATCTGGTGCCATTTCGCCGGATTTGGTTGCGTTCTGGCCTCTAGTCGATGCTCTAGCTTCTCCCAGGCCCTCGTTGCACACGGCCGGGCTGGAGGGCAGGCCGGAATCTTGATCGGCGACGCCGCCGGGGTTGCCCAAGCATGGGGCGAGATGGATTTCGTGAGGTTGCAGGCAGTTAATTAGGCGGCATTCCTTTGCGAGCAAGAAGATGGCATTGAGTGTGCTTTCTCGAACTTTTTCAGGCTTCGATTCGGGACACTTGGATTGTCTAGGCGAAGACTCATCGACGAATTTTAAATTTGTATCGGAGGATATCATTGTAAACATCTTCTCCAGGCTCGAAGGGGACCCTCGCCATCTGGCAAGACTTGCCTGCGTTTGCCAGAGATTCTTGAGTGTTGTGAGAGATGTCTGCTGGAAGCGACACTGCGTCCGGTACGTGCCAGACTTGTTGCCGTCGCCCCGAGTTCATTTCGATGCAATGGCTCCACCACCTGGCGGCTGGGACGGGCTGATGAAGCTGCTCGTGTGTTGCCCCGGCCTGAAACACTCGGGTGTGCTTCTCGACTGCTGGGATTTTGGGTTAGATAGAGAGCTAGGATCCAGTGCAGAGTATAATCCCCATCGTAAAATTCGTCGCAAGAGCAAGCGCAGGGCCACGCGCTGCCAAGGCCAGGCGAGCGGAGAAGTGAATTGTCCTGCAGACCGCGTTCCTTCCTGCCGCTCCGATCTTCATGGCTCGGTGAATTCAGCGCAGCAGAAAGTCGAGCTACCAGAAGCCCTTGCCGAGGACTCGAGAAAAGCTGTGGCGGAGGAACGGTGTCAATCGGAGAAGGGATGCGGATCGAATTGCCAAAGTCCCAGCGAGTACATTCGGCCGGTGACTATAAAAGAAGCGGACGACGGGACCGTGTCCACGATTAAGCAGAAGTACACTTCGGATGAAGGTTGTGCACTGGTGTTAGATATAGGGCCGGCGAATTCCAGGAAAAGAAAGGAACTGTCAGAGGTCATCAAGGAGGAGAATGCTGCCATCAGGGAACAACCTGCATTCATAGGAGAAGGCGATAGTGAGTGCAAGCCCTTAGAGATGCATTTGGCTTCTGGAGTTCGGAACCTATCGAGAGAACAGGGTACCAAGCTCCTGGCCAGCCGATTCCGTGCCGACTGTCTGTACATATGTGACTGGCCTGGCTGCGAACACCCGGGCGAGAAGAGAAAGTATTATATCTTCCGCGGGATCTTCAAAAACTTCCGAGCATCGCATGTCTGGAGGAATTTGAAGGACATGAAGTCGAAGCCTATTGACGTTCCATGTGCATTTTGCTCAACTTCTTACTCCTGGGACATGATGACAGCATTTTGCCTCAGACGCTCGTTCGAATACCATGATGATGGTGAGCCTGTGGTTCGTGCTTATGTGTGTGAAAACGGCCATGTGTCCGGAGCTTGGACCGATCGTCCTGTTCAAGTCTTGTGAAGGTTGTTACCAGAAGAATTTGGGGACCTCCTTTCTGCAGAGACAGTGTCAGTCGCTCCATCCCCACTCTCGTGGTGACTAGGTTTCATGCGCTGATCGAGTGTAGATTCCCTGGGTTCCCCGATTATTATATCTGTGCAGTTAGTCCTTCGGTTCAGCTGATATCGTTACTGGCGTGTAGGTCAGCTACAAATAAATACATATTGAGATTTCCTACTTCAGGTCTCAAATCCTGCAAAGATTTCGTTTTTTCTGAGTATAATTCATGCAAGTTGTCTTGTTGAGAACAAATTTTTCTGTGATAGCCGGCTGCATTCTTAGAACTTTGCGGTTGTGGCTAATTCTGGAAGGATGTACGGGATGCTCAACGCAAAGTTTCACATCTCCGAAATCACAGAGAACACAAGCTTCACATTGATACAGTACAATTCTATTCGAAAGAGTATTCAGTGTAAATCTTGTTTTCACTTACTATACACAGACTCCTTCATGGTGAATTCACTCGGATCGTGAGGGTTTTTAAGTCTTTTGATCAGATTAGATATCAATTCTCAAACAACGTATCTCCTCTGTTGGTGGGAAATATACCCACATAGAGGATGAGACCTTCACATCCAAACCTTAGATAAGTTTAGTATCACTCCTCAAGTGTCCAAAAAGTCTTTTACATCTGAATCTAGAATGTCCCACGTGAAATACAATTCCAAAGCACAAGACGACCAGGGCCCAAGGTAGACAAAGGTTTTCCAAATCTTATGCGAAAAAAATGGAATAAAACCAAACTAGTAATACAGTGCTTGATGTCACTACAGCTAAAGTCCGTTTAGCCGTGAATAAATTATCAACCTGATCTTTCTAATCTGCATTACAATACCTTTGTAACCTTAGTTTCAAAATATATAAACTTACTTTCAATTTGCTCGTCGCTTTGAGATTTAGAGTGACTAAGGAAACAAAAATGTGCCTAATTGTTAAAAAAAAAGGGTATCAGATAAACGTAGACAGTATGTATAAAATTATCACCGTATGTTGTCACGTCGGTTGATACCCTCCAAAAAAAATTTCAGCGTACAGAGATGTAATAGTTGTCTGAAATGGGCTAAATTAGCAAACTCTGAAAAGCGACCAGACACCACGTAGATGCCATTATATCATGAAACTTCAGCTATGCCTATCGCAGAAATCAGCTGCCAAGGATGGCAAGGACCATCATCTATAATCTACGCTTGCAGCAATCCATCCCGAAGTCAGTAGATTATCTAATTTCATAGGCAAACTAGACAATCATCTACATAATCATACGGACAAATTTAGCCAATACATCTGAGACTGCTCCATCAGTAAAGTAGCTCCTCTTCTAAAAATCCAGCAGTTGGTGCATTGTGTGCCATCAATCATTTTTGTCTCAATATAACTATTTGTATATACAGTCAAAAATCTTTGAGATGTCAAATCCTGGGGATTTTTAAATATTTCCAACCGGAAATTTTGAGCTGTACTATTGACTCACCTTACTATTACTACTTCAATACCTTGGTTGGGTGTAGTCCTAAACAAAGTAAATTAATAAAGGATAATAAAATGTCCTCTACTTTTACTTTATCCCTACTCTTACCACAATAGTCACGCTTTACACATACTTTTATCTCTCTTTTACCCCTTAACCCGGTAATTACCCTAATAAGAATAAAAAAATACAAAACTCAAATTGACTACACAATTTTCATAATGTTAATTTGAAAATCCTTTAGTTCAAGATAGACTCAAAGACCATTTCTTCAAATTGGTTGTTGAGCATCCGCACAATGCTGTCATCAAGTACTTCCTCGTACTATTCATCTTGTTCAATATCCAACTAGTTCACAAAGTTTTCAATCTCATCGGTGGAATTCTCTTTGTCAGCAGATTCGATTGCCACAGCTGCAATCACTCGGTTTGTCGGCACCTTGAGTATCTTTGTGTCTATCCATGAGCGCAAGCATATGATCATGATGAACACCGATGACAACAGGGACTGCTGAGAGCTGATAAACTTGCGATCAGCGACACTGTTGACACGCTCAAATGGCATCGACGACGTATCAAGATAATATGTGGCCATCTGATAATGGGCATGCGGGGTTTTCATGTAGGCTGATCATCCACACAAGATGTTGATAAAATCTTTACACTTTAAAAATTCGATTAATAGGAATTGATCTACCTCATCGAGTCTCTTATTTTTGTGCTCTGTCTTGAACATGGCCCTAAAAAGCTTATTGATAGGCTCTTTGGGTTCGACGGTCAAATTGCAAGACTGCAACTCGGTCAAATGACGGCGCTGAAGAGTGTATCGAATGAGATATGTCAACTTCTTCAATTGCACATGGTCATATGATTTTGATATCTGCAAATTTAGATAGATTGCAACTATGGTGGGTTCTAGCTTATGCCTTATGCACCTCTACTTTCGTTAAAACTATCTAAAGATGGTTACAAAGGCGACCTATGTCATTTGCAAATTGCTCCATGCTAATGTCAATGACAACACGCTTATGGAATGCGTTGATCCCCATTTGATGCATGAAATTTCAACGCCTTGAAAAATCCGTGATGTGTCTACTTCTTGGTGTTGAGATCGGTGATCTCAGCCTCCAAGCGATTTTGATGCCGCATCATCTTGCTGCGACGAACTTTGACAAGCGCATTGCGCAACGCCTCCATTGATTTTCTTTGTGAAACTGAAGACTTTGACAAAAGCAAGTTGAATAGAATGATCGGCGCAATGCACGTGATTGCAATTGGACATATATTCATAGCCAATTGATGCATTGATCAACTAGAGAAGACACTTTACTGCAGCGATAACGTTGGAGCCCTTTTTGCTGACCACGTTCAGCAATCGCATAAGGATATTGATACTTGAATCCTTTAGGTGTTCAAAAAGGGCAATTTTGATGCTTTGATTGACATCGATATCACATGCTACATTCATAATTGTGATTAAAATACTCTCTGGTGACATCGTCTCAATGTCACTCCAGTGTGTGATAACCACATTAAAGTCCTTGAGATTATGATTTGATCATGTTGATGTTAACTCTGGTTAATGAGTTAACTTAGGTTAGTTAACCAAGGTTAACCGCATATGTAGCTATTTATAGCTTAGAGTGGTTAACTACCTTGGGTATATATACCCTGAGCGTGATAGGAAGAACTTCACTTCAAGCATTCGAGCAGTAAAACTCTCTAGTACTCTTCTCCCCGTGGACGTAGCCCTTGAGGGTGAACCACGTTATACTCTTGTGTCTCTGGTGTCTCTAGTATCAATGTAACTGAATGATGAGTGGTTCTTAGTTCTAACGTTTACAATTGGTATCAGAGCCAACGAGGTTCGGTTCGGATCAATTTGCCGAAAGTTTTTCGTAGTGACAGTTTTTTTTGACGGTTTTTCCTGACAGAATTGTGATTTTCTCACGTTTGACAATACTTTCCTTAGTGACAGGCTACACATTACTGACGGTTTTCTGAGACGAGCAGGTTACAGTACGGAGTATGTGAAGTTTTATCACGGCTTTTTGACTAGTGACAGTTTGTTTAGACCTAATCCAAGGGTTTAACGAAAGGTCGAGGTTTGACGAAAGGAGACAACGGAAAACCCCCACTCCTTTTCCTTTTATCTCGCGCGCAGGCCAGGGTTCGACCGCGAAGGAGAGAGGGTGGCAGCGCACTAAACCCACCCCCCCTTCCCCGCGCAGGTTAGGCCAGGGTTCGACCGCAAAGGCAAGAGGGTGGCAGCGCACCCCCCCCCTCCGCCCGAAATCTTCGCTCCTGCGAAGAAGACGAACCTACGCGCGCGCGGTTAGGGCAGGGCAGAAAAGACCGAAAGGTGCAGGGAGGCCGTGCGGTTAGGGCCGCGAAGGAGAAGTCAACCACCCCCCAACCCCTGCGCGCGGTTAGGAGAAGGAGAAGCACCCCATAGTGGCAGCGTATTTGTCGTAGTCGGCGAAATATTTAGGGTAGTTAGCCGCGCGGTTTAGGGCACAGCGTCGTCTGCAACGTGGTTGGAAGTGAACTTTGTCAAGTTCCGACGTGGTTAGACCGACCGTGGTTACAGTTGATGTAGTTGACCTGAACGTGGTTATAGTCGTGGTCGGAGGGGAAACGGTCGAACGACGGTAACGGTGACGGTGATATCAACAGTGACGATCGGACCAACGGTGTAGGAATATTCCGTCATAAATATTTCTCAGAAATATTTTTTCATCAGAATCTAGTCAAATTGGGTATCGTTGGAAAGCTCTCGACACGACTAGAGCATCTGGACACTTTTCAGGACCTAAACGATGACTCAAAAGGAGAAAATTGACTCGGAAGCTACTATTGTCTCTCATTTTCGACGTGCAGAGTCTATAGGTCGACAAATTGGTGGCAATTTTGGATATAACATCATACCTTTCGATGGCCACGGTGATTATTTGCTTTGGGAAAAGCAAGTAAAAGTGAAACTACGATCCATGGGTCTCACTTTCTGCCTGGGAGAAAAACCTTCTAGCATAAATGACATTGAATGGACTACTGCTCAAGACCAAGCAGTTTGCATTGTGTTGGCATATCTAGACCCTACTATACTCAAGCAGGTTGAGGAGTACTCTGAAGTTTCCAAGGTTGCTTTATGCGCTTCAGCAACGGTTCCATCAGAAGAATCCAACGATTGTGATGAACACTTACATGCGATTGTTACGGTTTACTATGAAGCCTGGCACGTGCATACAAGACCACATGCACGCCTATGGAAATCTATTGGTGGATCTTCGGAATATGGGGGACGAGGTTACTGACATAAAGAAGGCAATGCATCTTCTTCACTCATTGTCATCTACATATACTGTCAGACACTATCGAAGATTCTTCTTCATCGTCAGAACACAGCAGTCACTTACAATGAGGTTGTAAGTGCACTTCTGACGGATGCAGTTGAGCAGGATTTGTTATCTCCTTCCGTTCCATCCACTTCTGGGACAACACTTTTTATGGCAAGAGGTCAGTCACAACCAATAGACATCCACGAGTCCAGGCTTGAAGCGACAGAGATCAAAATCTCCTGACCGAATGAAAGTACAATTTCTAGCTCAACCATTTGACAAGAAGAATGTTGTTTGTTGGAGTTGTGGTAAGAAAGGCCACATCATGAAGTTTTGCGGGATGACCGGTACAACCTCCCCTTCAGTGGCAAACGTTGTTGAAAATCTTGATAC